AAGCAGAAGCCAGAGGAGGAAGGGGGAGCCCAAAGCAGACAGTTGCAGCTGGCTGGGGGGGGAGGGGGGGCAGTTGGGCCAGACCCTGCAGGCAACATGCCAACCTTTGGGGGACTGCACATGGCCACAGGCTGAACCCTGCTCTACATGAACTATAGCTTTGCCACAGCCCTCTATATTCTCCTGGTAGGACTCAGAAAGACATGCGCTCTTATGCTACTAGCCTGAGACTCTCTATACCTGCCCCCGCAACAATGGCCTGCACGAGGAATGGTATCTGCTACGCCACAAGGAGATAAACGGCTGTTCCACTGCTGAAATACTCAGGATTATTTAAACAGTCCAGACGTACCTTGCTTCCCGTCCTGCTCCAGCAAATGTCAATGAATGAGCCACTACCTTGAACTCCACCACCAGAGTTGCAACAGACCCTTGCTGGTGTAACGCTCACAAAATAATGTATCCAGGATGTTGGGTTATGCACTTTCATTTAGCTCACAATGAACTTGACTCTGACTTCTACACTCTTGCAGAGAAGTTGAACTATACTGCAGCCCAGTGGGTGGGAATCTCTGGAAGCTCATAATGTGCTGGTCTTTATAGCTATAAACTAAATACAGATGAGCTTGCTGCAAAGATGTCACTTGCCAAGGCTTCCTCCAGCTCCAAGGAATGGCTTGATTATTTCTGTTTCTTTCCTTTGGGGAAAAATGTGTAATTGGCTGGATTGTACTCTTCCCAGATCCTTTCGAACTCTGCCAGGAAAGGCTTCACATATTCTGCATCCTCCACGATCAGCACATTCTCACGGTTGCTCTGAATGGCTTGAGTGGTCCAGTTGAGGGAGCCAGTGATAAGCACCTTCTGGTCCACAATAGCAAATTTGTGATGCATGTAGCCACTCTCCTGGTCATGGCGCACCTGAATCCCTACAAACCCAGAAGAAATGTTTTGATGCTTCATCTTCAAGGGGATAACCAAAACCTACAGTGTTTTCCTAACTTGTGAATGAGTGATTGCACCCCTGAGTACTAATTCACTTCAAGGCCCCATTAGCATTTGATGTCCTTTCTCCCCCCAGTCACCACACAGAATGGAAAATGCCACCTGTGCCACAAGCCCCCAATGCCTGCTACATCACCCCTAATACCTTGCTTTTCTGTTATCGGGCTAAAGCCGGGAACTCTGATGGCACGACCCAGTTTGTTCCAGAAAGAGCCCATCTCCACATCGTGATTAACACACAAAAATCTGGTTCTTCCAAAGACCAGGGTCAGAACACCCAGCCGGGCCTCCTCCCATCCTGGCGGCCTTCACCTCCCTTCCAGGTCCTGCTGCCTCCATCTCCAGGATCCCTCCCAACCCCGCTTCCTCCCAGCAATCCCACAGGACCCCTCTCCCTCTGGCCCGTCTCTACAGACCCCCCACCGCGCACCGGCCAGACGCAGGCGGCCGATCTGGGAGCCGTTGACCGCCATGTAGTCGGCGTCGGTGACGACGCGCACGCGGACGCCGCGGCGGTGCAGCAGGTGCACGGCGCGGGCGAGCTGCGGGCTGGAGAAGGCGAAGACGCAGAGCTCGAGGGAGCGGCGCGCCGCCAGCAGGCGGCGGAGCAGG